CATCTGCCGCTTCCAATAAGCATTCCCTGCAAAGGTTCCTTCAATGCGGAGCAGGTGATGAACAATTAATGCATTTATTGGTCTTTTCCCTTGATTTCCTTGCTGGAGAATCCAAATGCTTGCTGGGGCTGGAATAAAGCCATATATGACATATATTACAGGCTTAGTTTGGCACTCTTTTAACAACCCCCCCATTAAAAAATTAATGGGTCACCTATGTTTTCTAGAGAGGGATCTTGCAGAGGCAGAGGGAGAATCTATACTACAAAGGAGAATCAAAGGAAATTCAAAACACAATTCCCAATAAAAAAGCCAGAGGCAAACTGACAAGCAAAAAAACCCTCAAACAAGAAACACAGAAGAACTGGTAATCGTACCTTATAATGATAGTAAAAACCTCCAGGCAGCCAATAAATAACAGCAAAGGATGAACTTCAGAAAAACCTGGACCGAAATCGCCTTAACAGCTGATGCAGTGCACAGGCAGAGTGTCTGTATCATCAATTTTAAATAGAGCCGGGGAAAACGTCCGGTCCGCGCTTGTGCACACCGCTGGAACGCACGCAATGCGTTCCAAACACTCGCGGCCGATGCAAATCACTTCCGGGTTCGGTCGCGATTACATTTCCGACTGCTGGAACGCATACCGCGTTCCAGCCAACAACGCTGGCACCCCCAGGAAGCCAAAGTAAGTAGGCGAAGTGCCCCCACGGCCGCAGGAAACACACTGCCCACCAAGAACCCAGTAGACACCCCAGGGAACCACCTGAAAACCAGACAAAAAGCAAAACACTACAGGTCTGTGCAAGGCCTCCCCACAGGAGAACCCCCTTGTATGAATTCCAAAGAACTGCCATTAAGGTATGGGGGATTATAGACCCCAATTACAAGGGGCAATCCAAAATAAGGGGAATTTTTAAGGATAACCAACCCCATTAATAAACTAGAACAGTGTCTCCCTCAGAACACCTTCTATCTAAGTCCCACGCTGCAGTTCAGTACTTACACTGAACCTGACCCAGTTAGTCCTGCTCATGCAGGCTGTTTACTGGATCCTTCAAATGAAGAGAGGCTGAACTTCATTTGGAACGAACCCACGACAAACACAGGAAGGTGGCCAGAAAATAAAATGTAAAAAGTCCTGTAGAACTTGCTAAGGACAGGAAAAAAGACTGAGGTGTAAGGGGAGGAGGGACTCTTTATGTCCATCAGTCTAATTAATCTAATTAATTCCTGTCCTGTGACTGCTAAGGGAGGAGCTACCCATAAGTGATGCTGCCATGATTAGCCAGGAAATTTATTTTACGAATGTCATCTCTCATACTTGAAAGTAGAATAATAGTTTATGCTGATAATCTACTTTGTCATATTCTGTGGGTTTTTTTCTTTTACTTGGAATTCCATTAATAATATGAAACTCTCTTTTTTTTCTGTGACTGGTTCAATCTGTGCTGTTCAAAGTTCAGTTTTAGATAAACAACAAGTCTTCTAAATATGAGCCTTTTTTGAAAATCCTTCCAAACCTTCGAGTCAACAACACAAAACCTCAGGCAGATTAAGAGACAAATGATTGAGCCATATAATAAAGGACAGATGCTCTTTCCCTTTCATTCACTCAAATGCAGGTTATAGGATCTTTTATCAAATAATTCAGTTTTCCAACGCATTATCAGGAATTAATGGGCTTGGTTATGTTGCTAATTATGTTGTTTTTTTATAGGTTCTTCAGAAATCTGAACAATTTTTAAAGTGGACCTTTATTAAAGATACTAAATGATATAAAAGAGCATTGCCCTTATAAACCAAGAGTCACAGGTGGAATGTAGCCGTACTAATATGAAGCGTAATGGAAAAAAAAAAATCACTGTTTGTGTTCTCTACTTAAATGGGAGAGTTTGGTAAATGGATTTCTTTACTTACTTAGGAGTGTGCTCCTACATTAGTCTAGGAGCAATTAGAGAGAAGAGGTTGCTCTGCAAATTGGCCCAGCTAACTGGGTAGTTCATCTCTTTTTATATAAAAAAAAGTACACAAAATTGTTCCTAATCAATCCACTTCATTCATCACTGCATCCTTCAGTTGGAAAAAAAATATTTACTATCCCTTTCGATATGAAGCACTTTGCAAATGTTTTCTTGAATTAACCATTTTTTTGACAGTGGATAGAGATCTCACTACATTACACGTGTAATAAGGTGATGTAATATTTGAAATAGTAGAACTGAGTATGTCCCATATAAATAGCATTTTACAATTTACAAACAGTTGATTAAATTCCAAAAATGTCTAGATTTTAAATTTGCAATATTTTTGTTATTGAATAATATATATATCCTGATAAAAATTATGCTGTTAAACCTGAAACATTGACCATTTTTTTGAGCAAATAAAAGCAACGTTTTAAGCTACTTTTGCTGGTGAAGGTCTGAGAGTGCATATGCACACACACACACACACACACAATACACAAGATCCATGCATAAATGGGGGTGCTGCTGGGGGCCAAATTATACAATACACAAGATCCAGCGCACTCACCTATCCACTAAACAGCAACTTCAAAGTTGAAAGATTTTTTTTTTAAACACCTAATCTAGGCAAAAATAATGGGGGTTTAGTTACATTATATGAGCATACATTGCATAAGCCTGCCACAAATGTCAATGTACACCATCTTTGGCAGGTCCTACACTAACAGCCTAATGTCTGCTCTTATGAGATTAACCCACTTACTCCCGGTGGTTGCTGTCACTTCCTCCCAGCGTCTGACATTATCAGAGGGGGCCCGGTTGCGCTCTTACCGGGCCCACTCTGATGATGATATTCATTTCCATCGGGTGGCCCTAAGAGCATGGGCCACCTGATGGGCCCCTTCACGTGCAGCCCCGGCAATTATAACGCGCGGCCAATGCCGCAACACATGGCGGCTGGCACCCAGTCACAGGGCAGCCGGGCCCCCTGTAGTGATGGGCCCGGTCACAGCTGCGAACGCGGTATGTATGCCAATATATATATATATATATATATATATATATATATAATCTAATCCAATTATCTCCAAGCACAGAAAAATCATACTTGTAACGGACCGCCTGGCACCCCGACCTGGTACCTCCGTCTATCGCTGCTTCCTACTACTTGCGAGTACCATAATCACTGCACTGGAACACCATAACCACCGTAGACCCCACAAACCGCCGCAGCTTGGTTGGGGTCTCACTGTCCTCCACACACCCTGGACCTAAGACCAGTTTCCAGTGGGTATACCTCTCCTAGTCCAGAGAGCGTAGCAGGAACAGGAAGTTTAATGGCACACACTGGTCTTTTATACAAGTTATACAGCAAAGGTGACGCCCAGGTGGACCTGGTTGGACACCGAATACACCAAGCCAATAAAAACAGAGGTTTACTTTCAGACACTCCCATACAGTGTACACAATCCCTCCCCTCTGCCTATGATATAATTAATGAAGACAATAGACTAACTCAATTAACCCTAAGCAGAAAAAACATACATTTTTACAAACCCCAAAAAGTACCTCAAAATACAAAATATCCCTAAATTGACATCCCCTGATAGCCCCGATCTGGGTGAACAACATATCTAAAAATCACCCAGATCGGTTCAGGGGTTCAGGAATTTCCTGGAAGTCTTATTTTTCCCCACTGTGCACATGGTCCCATGCCCAAAACAGTTCCATACACTCGACAACAAAACACTGCTGGAGAATTCGTGCGGCTGTTCGGTTCCCGAACCATATAGTCCAAATACACAAATGGAGACTTTTACATTACATTTTACAGGGTCCATAGTCTGTGGGCAGGAGGCTGGCAAGCAGGCTCCTCCAGGAACTCGTGGAAAACTTGCTTGAAAAGCAGAGCTTGTCACAGAGACCATACATGGGTAAAATAGGTGAGTCTGCCCCCCACCACCAATAGGAAGAAATGGAGATTTTGAACACTTACCATAAGGTCGTCATCCTGAAGGAGCACCTCATGTGCCACAAGCAGGCCAACCATTTTGTGGGAAGAATGTTGGTGCATTTCGCTGCTAAAAGAAGCTGACTTGTCCAGTGTAGGAGCCCCTGTTCTATCTAAAAGAACTTCTGTTAACCCGGCCAGACAGATGGCTCCTGGAGCTTCCGGCCCCACCAAAAACACAGGGGTTAAACACTTTATCAAGTGCGGTAAAGGTATGTACAAATGAGCCGAGTTCCTTTACAAAATTATCTCCAAAGAGGAGACCTTTAGCCTGTGCGCCCTGCTCGTTTAGAGCCAGTTTAGGCTCAATTTTGAGCAGAATCGATTTGCGACTCTTCATGGCCATCGCAGTGTTGGCATTGCCAACTTAGCATATGATCCTCTGTATCCATCCACGTATGGTGGCACGTTCTAATTCTCGGTCATCTTTGACCATATCAAATATCTTGGCCACTGGGCCCAAGATGTCCAGAATCTTATCCTGGCAGTTATGAAGTGAAAAGTTTAAGCCTTTATTAGGCTTCCAACCCTTCTTACCCAGGAATTGTATAATTTTGGGGTCTACTGAGGGCGTCTTGCAGGCATCATCTGGAACTCTGGGGTGTGGGCATTCAACCCGTAATTTATTTCTTGTTGCCTTGTCTAAAGGCTTGCGTACCGTAGACGCAATATATTTGGCCGCATGGTCTGATGGGGACCATTCCGGCGTAGTTCGTCAGGGTCAAATATGGGTTTAATATGGTACATATGGAATAGGGATCCAGCTTGTATCACTAAAACATAAATAAAAACATAAATACAAATTTTTGTGATACAAGCTGGATCCCTATTCCATATGTACCATATTATACTTTTTATATAGTTACCATTTTGGGAGGTAACTGAAGGGAAGCAAGTATCCAAAGTTAAGTTTAACTTTTTATTCCACGGGTGATTTGGTGGAAGCTATTTTGTATCAAATATGGGTTTACCTTGAGGGTTCAAGATCCTATCGGCATCCCCTAAAGCCTTATTGTCAGTCACCATCGTTTTAAGGGAATTGTATCCTGAGAGGGGTCAGTCTCCTCATCATAGGCATCAGAGCCAGGATCAGAACCATCATCTGAATCATCCCTGTAAGACTCCTCTTCAATGTCACTGAGTTCGGACTCAGAATCTAATTGGGCTTTTGCCCTCTTCCAAAGTCTAGCCGATTTTGCCTGGCTAGTGGCTCTTTTGCGCGGTGGTAGATTAATCACGCCATCGGTGACAGGTTCAGAACTGTCCATCTCAATAGATTGTGAGGAGTGTTTAGTTTTGCAAACAGCCTTATGGCCTGACTGAGACTGAGCAGGTGTTGACAAAGGCATCACCTGTAGATTACTCGGATGAGCAGATCTCTGTGCCTGCAACAGGGCCTGAGCAAAGGTCTGCGAAAGGGAGTCAGTCATAACTCCCATTGCAGAAACCAGGGCTTTGGTCATAGTCTGAGACATAGATGTGTCAATTAAGGGCCTGCATGTCAGCAGGAGCCGTAAAGCCAGCGGAGAGATCCGCTTCATCTCCAAACATACTTGGAGAGTTCTGGAAGTCAAACTGAGTGGGTGTTATAGACCCAGAGGGAGCTGCGAGATCCCTGTTAGATTGCATTTTTTTTAATAGCAAGGGAAATAATAACCCACAAAGAACACAGGTAAAGGGAATAAAAGTTAACTTACAGTAATAAATCACAGAGAGACACAAGAGCCGTCCGACCACCACTAAACCCCAACTCCAAAATCAGGCAGTTGGGGGCAGAGCTAGGGAAAAACGCTGGAAAAAAACAATAAAATGGCTGCCACGAATGCGAACGTCACCGCAAACAGCAGATATATGGAAACCAGAGTCCTGAATGTGGTCACTATTCTATCCTAATTCTCCTTGACCTGTCTGCAGCTTTTGACACTGTTGATCCTCATCGGTCACCAACATCGGTCTACAAGATATTGCTCTCTCCTGGTGCTCCTCCTACCTCTCCCAGCGCTCTTTCAGTGTTTCTTTCTCTGGCTCTGCTTCTTCTCCCCAACACCTCTCTGTTGGTGTCCCCCAAGATTCAGTCCTTGGTCCCCTACTGTTCTCCATCTATACTGCCTACCTTAGTAAACTCATTAGCTCCTTTGGCTTCCAATATCATTTCTATGCAGATGACATGCAAATCTACCTGTCCTCTCCTGATCTCTCCCTGTCCCTCTTGACTAGTGTTTCTGACTGCCTCTCTGCTATTTCTAACTGGATGGCTGCCCACTTCCTTAAACTAAACTTGACCAAAACTGAAATTCTGGTCTTTCCTCCCTCAAGTGTTGTTACTCCTGTGTCTGTCTCCCTCCAAGTCAATGGTGCTACCATCAGCTCCACCTCGCTGCCTAGGTGTTTTTCTTTGACTCTGACCTCTCCCTCAAGCCTCATGTTAAATCTATTGCCAAATCCTGTCATTTCCATCTCAAAAACATTGCGCGCATCCGCCCCTACTTAACGCCATATGCAACTAAGGTGTTGGTCCATTCCACTGTCCTTTCTCGCCTTTACTACTGTAATCCGCTTCTCAGTGGTCTTACGTGCTCCCAACTTGCGCCATTACAGTCCATAATGAATGCAGCAGCGAGGCTCATCTTCCTGTCTGCCCGCACCTCCCATGCCTCACCCTTCTGTCAATCCCTACATTGGCTTCCTATAAAATATAGAGCTCATGCCTCAGAATACACACGACTACTGACCAAACCACCATCCTTTATAAAAGTATGGGAACAAGACATAGGTCACCGGCTGACCGCAGAACAATGGCAAACCATCTACTGTACGAATAAACGAATGACACTATCCACGACACACGTGGAGCTATCCCGCAAGATCCTGTACAGATGGTACCTAGTACCCACAAGACTTAAACATAGTTTCTCGAACACATCAGACCTATGTTGGAGATGCGCAACAGACAAAGGAACCATGATACATATTTGGTGGCACTGCCCAACACTTCGACCCTTTTGGTCCCAAATCAGAGCACTGACGACACACTGCACAGGAGTGTGTCTACCAAACACACCAGAAACGCTCCTACTTCTCCTACTCCCACAGACACAACACATGCACATACGCTACTTAGTGTATCACATTGTAATAGCAGCCCTCACCCTTATCAGCAGACAATGGAAGCAAACTAACCCCCCACAATCAACCAATGCAAAGAAGTAATAGAATGCAACAAAACGTACGAACTCATGGCAAGGAAATCAAAACAAGGAAAGCCCTATTGGCTCGAAGCGTGGAACATATGGGACGAACAAAAGCACAAATATACGAACCCAACAGATAATCAAAATATACAAAATAACATCACGATTAGCTAGACACTCCCCTGAAAGGAGGCAACACACTCAGACAACACGCTCACAAGGAATCAAGTGACAAAACCATACACACACACATCCATGATAGCAACTGACATACCCGCAGCGCAATCCTATACCCTACTCTCACATACCCAAACCCTCTCCCCCCCCACCCACCACAACCTACTCAGACCACAGCCACCCCATATCCACCACATCCGCCACTGCCGCACCTACAGAGACAGCACTCACAGAAGAATTCCAAAGACCAAGAGTACCAAGTCTAAACCACTACTACCGAATAGCTAAACACACAACTGCGGACCTACACAGTCTTAAATGTGAGATACCCAATGCAAGGCAACTGAAAGTATTGTATAATCCTGCGATGTACTGCGGAACTTGTAATGTATTGTAATGTATTGTACCAGGCAAAAATATTTCCCCCTCCCTCCTCCCCCTCTTCTCTTCTGTACCCCTTCCTCCGCCCCCCTTTGGAAAAGAATAAAAATTGTCAAATTCAAAAATATAGAGCTCAATTTAAAATTCTGGTTCTTGCTTTCAAATCGCTACACAATGCTGCTCCCAGCTTTCTATCCTCCCTTATACACAAGTATGTCCTGTCTAGGCCCTTACGATCTGCTGAAGACTTACGTCTATCTTCTGTCTGTACTCCCACCTCTGATGCTTGCCTTCAAGATTTCTCGAGGGCTGCACCGTTCCTGTGGAACTCGCTTCCCTCCTCCGTTAAATGCTCACCCAGTCTCCACGCATTCAAAAAATCATTTAAAACCCCCTTCTTCATAAAAGCGTATCAAATAAACTGTTACTAGCTCCTGACTGATTCCTCTTATGCAACTGTCACTAGTCTAATACTATCCTTACCTTTTTGTGTCATTTTACCCCACTCCCTCTAGCATGTAAGCTCATTGAGCAGGGCCCTCAACCCCTCTTTTCCTGTGTGTCCAACTTGTCTGGTTACAACTACATGTCTATTCGTCCACCCATTGTAAAGCGCTGCGGAATTTGATGGCGTTATATAAATAACATAATAATAATAATAATGTGGTCGAAAAAAATCCCCAAACTACTGAAATCTGTATTTGTGGGTAGGGTAAGATTCCGAATGCCGCATTAATGGGAAAACTCACAAATGCCGCATTAGGTTGAAAGTCGCGTTCGAGGGAACAACTCCCGAATGCGGACTGAATTGACAAAAAGCGCATCCGCTCGTTTGCACAGTGGTAGGCTCCTAACTGCTTAAATTTAAACGAAAGGTGTTGCGAAAGCACAGAATGGAGGAATAGAGCCCCTAACGACGTTCCTGAGCCCTGAGGGATATAATATCGGGCCATGGAGATCCAGAGGTGAGAATAGTAGAAGCAGATTAAAACAAGGCTTACATGAATGATAGCAATACACATATATACAAATAAACACTAAAATAGAAAATAAAACACTAAAAGAATAATTAAATGAAGAGTTAAAATGAATAATCAATGATGAATAACAATAAATAAATATGGAATTATGCAATAAAACCACACAATAAGGAATGTCAAGAAAAAGACCCCACAGTTAAGAAAACAGTGGGACCTGATGTACTCTACGAAGATACACCTCTCATGCTACAGCGCAACGGAATTTGTTGGCGCTTTATAAATAATAAAATAATAATAAAAATAATAATGCTATTTGTTATAATACTGATTTAATGTTATATTTTGTCTTTGCTGCTGAGGGAAATAGAGAAAGAGTGCAGCATAATAGGAGCCTCCGTGAATTCAAACACTCAAATTCAAATAGACAAATTTAAACAGACAAATTCAAACTCACAAATTAAAACTGGTGAATTTACACAGATGAATTCATACAAGCGAATTTCATTCCGGCAAACAAAAGAGGGCTTAAGAAAGAATAGACTTAACATGTAACACTAACATTTAAATACCATCTATATTACTATGGTATATGGCAATAAACATTTTCATTGTAGCACAATGTTGCATAGTAGTATCTGCTTGTATAAATGTGCATTACATTTGCCAGCAAAAAATTTTTTAGCTTCCAGGTTACAAAAGATTCAATGGCACATTAACTTCGAGTAAATATGGTATATATAATATAGACGGCTGCTTCACACTGGGGAGAGCTACTTAGAATATATAGAGGGAAATAAATAGAAATGTAGTGCGAGCGGTCCTATTTTTGTTTAGAAAGTTAGATAATATAATTATTATGCAAAAGAATTAATACCTAAGATGTGGGACTTTGCTAAAAGAAAAGAGCCCTCAGAGCTGCTGAATCCAAGTGGATTTTTAAATTAAATACCCTAAACCTTAAGGAGGAATTTGATCAAATGCTGCTATGAAAGAAGGATTTTCCAAAAAAGGACCTTTCTTTATTTTTATTTTTGTCCTATATTTGCTTTATCTATAGCTATTGTAGAGAGGTCTCTTGATATTTAGGGTTATTGTGTTTTACCAATTTATAATGTATAATGTATTGGCTCTTTAAGGATGAATTTTGGTATATATGACCTTTTTATTTATTCATTTGTACTTTTGTATCTATAGTTCCCATGGTTTCTCTTTACTTACTTATGTTGTGTGCTATTGAGCTCAACACAATATTACCACCACTGATCTGTGAAACATTATTTTTATAAAACAACATGAGTGGATTGTATAATAAAATATGATTTATTTTATTATATACATGGCAATATATCTTCCCTTAAGAATATTTATGAATAATATTTTTGCAATATTTGAGTCACGTATTGTGGAAGTTTTTATCTTATAGTTTATTATTTATGTTTTACTTTATTTTACACTAATATAATAAACTAGCATATAGATGTAAGTTTTACTCCATGTCTGGATTTATTGGAATCTGTATTTGCCAAGTGTAGAGGGTATTTAAGACACATTAGTAGGCATGGACCTTTGTCTTAAGAAAGTCTTATATAGAGACGAAGCGGTCCGGTTTTATTTATACACAGACTGTTCATTTGTTACTTTAAGACAGCCACGGCCTCATTTGCAGTTACCGGCCGCTGCTCACCACGAGATACCAGACGGCTACATTCACTGAACAAGTGAATATCGACATATGTGTATTCTGTCCTAATCGGAGAGTTATAGCTTATGGGAATCTTGAATTTTAGACCACCCATTCCTGCAGTTTCTGAT